TGGCTGGCTGTGGCACTTGCTGCCTTGTCCAGCTTCCAAGGTGAAGGGAAGCGTGTGTCTGGCTGCAGTGGGGGAGCGTGTTGGGTTTGGCTTTCTGAGAGGGACTGGGTATCTCTCAGAGCATCTCCCACTTGACGCAGCCCCTGTGGATTCAGCCTGCTTTCCTTCCAACAGCCCCAGAGACCCCTTGGGGACTTTGCTTCTCCTATGACTGGGAGCAGATCCAGCGTCTTCTCTCCAGAGCCTCCAGAAATGATGCTGTCTCCTCAACCAGAGCCCCAGAGGCGGCCGCTGCGGAGGACACCATCAGCCAGTATGACCCATGCCTGGGAACAATGTTGGGGACACACACAATGGTTTGGCCTCTCTGGGAACAGAGTTGGGTTTGGGGAGGGCCCATTGCTCTATCAGACTGCTGATCCTCAGCCACATTCCTAAGCATGGCGAGAAGACGGTGGATACGGGAGCTGGGGAGGGCAAGGCCGAATGAAGCAGGGATGAGCACAACCTTCAGAGCAGGGTCTGTGCAGAACAAGGCCAGGTTTCCTGACTGGCTGTGTGATGGGGGGAACCCACAGGTTTGCAATCTTCAAGGCTCCTTGAACCATGAGGGCTGGTTCTTACTGGAGTTCCCATTTTGGTAATGCACCTTCCCTTGCTCTACCAGGTTAAATATTACCCTGCTCTACAAAACCCAGCCAGTTACCTCATGTCTCACCTGCTTTTCCTTCCTGAAAAATTTCAGCTTAAAGTGTTTAAAAAAAAAAAAGGGCAGGGGGAGAGGAAAACAACCCAAATTCTCAGTTTCTCTAGCAGGGTTGGGAAGAGGGACATCAGCCAGCCATTTAGCAGGTGGTGCCTATGCCCTAGACATCTGGCCAAAGAGGACATAGTGCAGAGCAAGTGGTTTCAGCTTGAGCTGATATTCTCCTGCAAGATGAATGTTTTACCCTTTCGCATGCTATGTCCTGCCCTCTGCCTGCAGAGAAAGGCCATCTGTGCCTCCAGGGTCATTATTTGACTGGGGGAGCGCTGGTCCCTTCGAGGCAGCATGGGTCATGCAGGAGGGTGCTGGACTCCAGCCAGACTCTGCTGATGCCTCCCTGCAGGTTTGCTCCCAACTGGCCGTACCTCCCGTTCGGGTTCCTTCGGCGAGGCCAGCAGCGGCGGCGAAGGCAGGAGGAGGAGCGGCATGGCAAGAGTGCAGGCTATTGTGCCTCACGCCACGGGCGCCAACCGGACCCTGCTGCGCTTTGACCCTGGGGATGTCATCACGGTGCTGATGCCGGACGCGCAGAACGGCTGGCTGTATGGCAAGCTGGAGGGCTCGTCCACGTACGTGACTTCCGTGCTGTAAATCGGCCCAGCAGGCTGATGCAGGCTTGTTGGGTCTGGAGCTGAGACGCTTAAACCCAAAATTATTGCCCACCTCCCCTCCTGGTGTGCCCTGGGCACTGTCTCATCCACCATCTGTGTGGGACATGGTGATGCACGGGGGCTCTCTGAGCTGAGGAGATGCAGTGGGGCAGGGTGACCGTGGACGAGCTGCCTGAGAAAGCTCCAGAAGCTTTGGGTAAAAGAGCCAGGGATGCAGTGGCCCCGTCCCAGCTTGTGTGACTGAGCGACTCCTGTCATGGGACCCAACTCCAGGCCGTGAACTGCCGGAGTTACCTGAGAGGCCTGGCATTTCTCAGCTCACACTGCAACTGCCGCCGCACCCTCCAGCACAGACAGAGCACGGAAACTGCTGCACCCAGCGCTTACTGAATTACTCTCTGTGGTGCTGCCGGCCAACGCCTGTGTGCAAAGCCTGCCCTGTTCCACAGAGCATCCCTGCACCCTGCTCTGCAGGGAAGCTCACACTCAGGCGTGAGATGAGCAAAAGCAGTGCCTTTCTTTGTGGAGGGGTTTCTGGGGTGGAGCTGCTTTGCCTAGAGGAGAAGGGATTTCCACAGCTTCCTTGTGTGCTGCTCATGGCGACCACGCTCAATCAGAGCGTCTCTTCCTGGATTGCACCAGCATTGCTCCTGGTAGCAGGTGTTCTGCACAACCTCTGAGATAAGCGAGTCCTGCTCCAAGCTCAAGGACTGTCTCGCAATAACCCTGTGCCCCACCCAGGGATGAAAGATGTGCAGAAACCCTGTCACACATGGTAGCGGCAGCAGCGGCTTGTTTGATGCGTGGGATGGGTATAAATCAGAAGTGGTGGGCAGCTGGGTCTGAAGAACCACAAACCATGTTGCCTGGACCTCATTCATCTCTGTTCTGTGCCCTAGATGCGGCTGGTTCCCCGAAGCTTATGTCAAGCCTCTGGAGGATGCGAGGGAGATGGAGGAGCCAGCCATCAGGTAACAGGGAAGCAACTGGCCAGGTAGGAGCTGGAGTGGCTCCTGGCAGGTCAGTGACACCGATGGGCTACCTGTTTGGGGTGTGTCCGTTGGAGACCTGCAGTCCTCAGATGCTGGAGCATCTGCTGAGAGCCTTGCCATGACCCAAGATCTCACAGGCTTGCCCCATATGGCTCCCCTAACACGTGAAATATCTTCTGAAAGGTGCTCGTGGCTGGGCCAGTCCAAGCCATGTGTATTTTCTGCAGAGACATCCCATAGATACATGCTGTGGCTAGCACCTGTGCTGCTCCCTGTCCCTTGTCTTTAACTCTCACCCCACTGCCTTCTCCTCTTCCTCAGGTCCTTCCCACTGCGAAGCAGTCACAGTATGGATGACATTCTGGACCGTCCCAGCACTCCTTCCTCTAGCAATTACTGGCCTGCTGCTGCCCAGCCCAGTTTGCCGAACCCAGCTCCCCTCTCAGTGGGTCCTAGCAGTCACCAGAGTGGGGTGGCCACCCTGGTCAGTTCTGGCTCCAAGGTGAGTGCAGGAGGGTGACTGGTGTGGGTGTGTGTGGAGTGGGCCACGTCTTTCTATCACTGCTGACTTTCATCCTCCAAGGCACACCTTTTCTGCCTTGGCCTGTTGAGAAAGAAAAACACCTTCCAGATGTTGGTGTGTGACCTCCTCCCTTCCTGACCTAAGGGGTCGTGTTCGCACTGGCCTGTCTCACCCAGTCTGTTCCCATGCCACAATGTCCTGGTGGCCCCTGCCAGTCAACCTTTTGTGTGCAGGTCCTCAGTGCCTGGCTTTCCTCTCTCGAGGGACTGCTTTTCTGCCACTGCCCTTGTCATTCTTCTCTCTTTTTGCTCAGCAGGGGCCCTTCAGTTCAGTCCTTTTCTCCATGACCTCCCAGCCTGATTTCTGGTGGCTCCAGGGCAGCACCTCTTTCTGCTAATAGTAGGACCATGGAGTGATCAGGCTGGGCTGGGAGTGGGTGACCAGCTAACAGAGATGCCATCCTACTTCTCCCTTCAGAGAATGTAGGGGAGTTTCATAGGGCTCCTCTTCTAAATTCAAGCCAAGGTTGGGTTAAAGTCACAGCTGGAGTAGGGGAAAAGGTAGGGGGCAAAGGCTGAAAGCACAGCCATTTTGGAGAGTCTTAGAACAAGTTGTGTCCAACCCTTGGCTTATGGCTCCTGTTATCACTGCTTCCAGCTGTGGGGAATGGAGTGGGGAGGACAGTCAAAGTTAAAGTTGAGGACAGTTAAAGGTGAGGACCTGGGAGAGGGAAGGATGGTGCTGCCGGTGGGGCGTTATTTGCTCAGTCTCATAGCAAGCTGGGAAACCTCATCTCTGGTCGATGGTTCCAGGCCAGTGCGAGGTTGCAGGCTACTGGTGGCTCAAAGGACTGAAAAATTTAACGTTTAATTACTATTTTTTCCCTTCATGTCCTGTTCTGTGGTTTCGAGGAGCCTCAGGCTGCACAACACAGAGGGGAACAGACTCTGCAGCCTGTACCCACCTCTGGGCCACTGCTTTCCATGTGGTTCCCAGGTCTAAGGTGTAGGGATAGACCTGGGATTGAGCAATGAAGCATGTGGAACATTTAGAGTACCATAGCAGAGAAACTGAGCCTCAAGAGAAGTCTGGAAAGACTTGGCCTTGCTCTAAGCTTCCGCCCAACACAACCTCCAGTTGAGCCAGCAGCAAATGGGTGTGTGTTTGACTTCCCAGCTGGAACACAGATAGCCACACGTGGCTTTCTTGTCTGCCACCAGCTACAGAAACCGGTGTGCTTTAGTAGGCCAGTTGTCACTGATCCTTCATTACCTACTGGCCAGGAAGAAGGGCCACAGGGCCTAGGTCCATCTTTCTCCATAAGGTTGGTCCACATTTAAGCAGTGTGGTGTAGGGTGGGATGCAGCACTACAGCTCTTGAGTTCCCTGTGGACGCAGGAACCATGTGAAGGCCCTGGTGATGAACTCTTTTCCAGGGTGCGTGGGCAATGTGAGGGGGGCATCTCTGGCTGTGCTGGCAGGGTGAAGTGTAGCTCAGACTGTCATGGCTTGCTGTGCTCTTCAGACACGACACTTTGGGGATCTGAGGCATCTCCTTTCTCCCCCAAGACAAAGGGAGGTGTCCCAGGGGAACGGGGAACCTGTGGTGTAGGGGGAACCTCCCACCACAGAAATCAGGGTGTTATCTGTAGCAGTGAACTTGTGGGATTACGCAAAGTTTGGACAAATAAGGAGTCAGAGCCCCGTCAATAGGGCTGGGGGTCCTAACTCACCTAAGCGTTTTGTGAAATCTTCCTCTCTGTGTGTGGTGTTTCCTGCCCCGCTTTTGTCTCATCATTCCCCTCCTCACCCCAGATCGCTCACTGCTGCTTTTCTTTTCACCGCAGAAACTGGGCGCATTTGAGCAGCCCCCTGAACTCTTCCCACGGTGAGTGAGGCGCGGAGCTGTGCCCTGGAATCGTCAGACAGGGGGGCATTGTTACAGTACTGTTGTTATTTAATCTTTTGGATTATCAGATGTGGGAGGAACAGGGAAGTGCCTGGGGGGAAGGAACACACAGCCACTTTCCAGAACAGGCGGTGGGCCCACAGAGGTGGGCTTTCCTGGCTGACTGGGAAGGCTCTCTCCTCCCTCTGGTGATACACCCTGAGCAGATGACCAGACCTGCATGCTCCTCCTAATCCATCTTGGAAGAGCCACAGTAGCAGCTTGCAGCCTGAGCGTGGAGCTACGTGATTCAGGCAGCTCTGCCTGCTTGGAAAGGGCTGAGGCGTAAGAGGTGTGGCTTTTAGCTTTGAGAAGTCAGGTCTGTGGGGATGAGACTTGCTGTAAATCCCCGCTGTCCTTCCCCCTGCAGCTGGGTTGGTGTCTCCGTGTTTCTGGCACGGTGCTGTGGCCTCTTTCTGCTCCCTGACTCCTTGCTTGGAGGGCCAGGGGCCACAAGTGTAGAGTGCTACCGCAAGGGACAGCCTTATGCTAGTGTCCCTTCTTCATCCTATGGAAGAGGGAGGGTGAGAAGCCCTGAGGAGACCAAGGGGGACCGCATGGGAACCTGCAGCAGGGTGTGTTAGAGAGGGAGAAAACCTACTCAGCAGTCAGCTTTACCACACTCTCCTCTGTGCAATGGAGGTGGCTGTCTGGCAGGACTCAGTAGCCTTTGCTTGGTCAGCGAGACCCCTGCATGGTCTTCACAGATTTCCTGATGGTTGCCGGTTTCCTTTCCCCTTCCAGAGGTACCAACCCCTTCGCCACAGTCAAGCTTCGTCCCACGGTCACCAACGACCGCTCGGCACCCATCATCCGATGAAGCGGGGCTGCGGACAGCAGAGAAGTTAAGCAGGGAAGGGGGAGGCATACGAGTGACAGGCTGTGACCCCAGCTGGGCAGCGACCTAGTGCTACCACTCATGGAGTAATCTCTCTTTTCCCCTCCCTTCCCTCCGCGTTGTGCCTGGCTGTCTGGTGTGCTTTGGCCAGCAGCAGATCCCTGCTGCTCTTTTTGGATTGCCCCCCGTCCACCCTCCCCGTGTGATGTTACTGTACTCGAGCAGGAGAATTCTGGTGTTACTGGTGCTGGGGGCCTGGGAGAGGGGATGCTGCTGGTGTGGGAGGTGGAGGGACGGGTGGGTAGGATCGTCTGCAACATGGGGTAGCAGGGTGGGGAAGGCGAAGCTTTGCCAGCCCTGCAGTGGGCAGAGAAGGACGCTCACCCAGCAGTCCTTTTGCGACCAGGAGAAGGAACCCCGAAGGGAGGAGGCCACAAGAAGGCTTCCATCAATGTGGTCCGGCTGCGGGGGTCCGCAGTGCGCAGCTCTCTGCTCTCGACCCCTTTGGCAGCCGTGCCCTTTCATAGCAGCATCTGCCCCTTCTCCCCCTGGCGCAGCCCTGGGGCGAGGCGGGGGCAGGGGAAC